AAATGTAGCAATGAACATGATTATCGTCCCAATAAATCTTTGGGAAGGTTTGTGGATGACCAGCCTTTCATTTCTAATATGAATGTATTCATATATGAAAAAGGCACACTAACTCAAAGACACAAGATTCAATGGTACAACTGGCAAGAATGAAAAAAAGAAGAGCTCTGTTAGGCCTTTTTCAGACTGCCCGTGCAGATAGGTTGAACACACAAATCCAATCAGATCACTTGCAAATAACTCTTGCAAAAAGATCTGATTTGCCTGCAGCCTGAACAAAGCCTTCTCGTTTCACAAACTGCACATGGTCCATTTCCTGAGAGTAAAATCTTCCTGTTTAAAAGACTCACGTCTACTCTATCTCACTGAGATACTGTCCATGAGCTTCCTTGTCAGCATTTCTCTCACTCAGTTTCCTTCTGACTACTTTCTCAAGTTCGAGAAGTTTTGAATAGAGGACCTCAGACATTCCTTCATCAATGTCCATCTGAAAAACAATCCAAAGTAAACACAGAAAATGTGAATTCATTACTTGTAAATAAAGCATCTTAAGCAGCACATCAATCACAATTCAGTTTAGTGTATAAAATACATCTTAATTGGTCCTAGTTTCTCTTATGGATATTTTAATTTCTGCGCTACTAAAATTCAGGTAATCTGAGGTTCACGTAGAACAGACTTGGTCTCTGGTTGCTCACCTGTCGAGGCTGAGTGTAGTTTGTTCCAAGGCCTGATGTTAAACTGTGATACTTTGCTCTTGGGTCCAGAGATTCTGGCTTTTGAAGAAACACCCAATGCTGTGAAAAGCCAGAGCAGGGACTTCATGTTTATAGCGCATTCATCATAGAGATGTGATATTTCCATACAGACAATACAACAGGTTCACAACATACCAGTGCCTCTGCTCCGTTGTGTGGTGTAAGTGTGAATGTGTTGGTGAAGATCCTAATCTGTTCAGTACAAACAGGAAACATGTCACAATAACATGAGACAGTTTATATGCAACTTCCAATCCAATGTTTAACAGAGACGAGTGGAATAAATAATCAATCTACCCTCACCAGCCACATGATGGGCATGATGAGAGTCCAGAAGAAGGAGGGGAGGATACCATAGGTCAGATTAGTCATCACCAGTCCGGGACATATTACAGAGGAGAAGAGCCCCTGTCACAGAGAGAAGGAAAAGGTTTGAGAACCAGTGTATAAAGGAGCTATGAGATGTTTTTCAACCTATCCTCAAATAAATGTAGTTTTCTAGCAATTATCATTAGAAAGGGGACACATTTTGCAATATATAAAGCGGTGCTGATTTTTTTCTCTTTTTCTTTCCATATCGTATGGTTCTTAAACTGTATCTGTATATAATAAGTTACTCTTGATGTCAGCATCTGTTACTTTCAAATAATTAGACGTGATCTTAATTCTTAAGGTTTTTTTTCTTCTTTTTACAGAATGAGCATACAGATGGACAGTAGAGAAGTTGATAATACTGCAGGAGTGGTGTGAGCTTTTTTACGCAGTGAAAATTGGTCACAGATGGGATTGTATGCAGGCTGAATACAGCATTATACATACATGTATTATCATATAGGCTAATGATTAAATGATAACTAAATATATGATATGAAATATATATTTTCCTTTTTGATTTTACCTGTTAAATATGCTGATCTTGTCCAAACCCAACATGAAACTACAGTGAAAATGAAAAATGTGGAATCCATTTTATGAGCACAACATACAACTATTTTTTCACACTTGCACTCCCCACTAACTGGTTTGGAATTACCCTACACCCTTCATTTGACAAACCCTCATGAGACTGCTTACTGCTCTCCCCTCCCATGACCTTGTGAGATTCTGCAAAGAATTTTGGAGTGTGAGCAGACGTCATTGAAAGAAAATAAAGTCGCTACTGTGCGAGTTATCTGCAGACTGAGGGCCAGACAAACCTGGCTGTTCTTGTGTCTGTTGAGCGCCAGGCTGAGCAGGTCTGATGCGTACTTGGAGGAGCTGTAGGGCTCCGTCCCATTTTTGTGCTGCATGTCCTCGATACTGAAGGCAGAGCGGCGGGCGTTACTGGAGGAGGTCCACACTATCCTGGACGTGTGACCTGCGGGACACAGCAGAGGCTCCAGCTCCCTGATCTAGATCCACAGAGACAAGGAGGTGAAACACATGGGTAATGATGAAGGGGATTGCGACACAATCTCACTGATGTGACAAAACATTTAATCTACACTGCCTCATGAAGTTGCCCATCTAATTAAGCTTTGTAAGATATTATAGATCATAACAGCTGCCTCTTTATGTTCTTTCTGCTTCAAATAACAACGGAAAGGGTGGGCGAAAGTGTTCATATAAAACTATTTATAAAATATTTAAAGTAAATTAACTCAAATATTTTGATTGTTTTTAAGATATGATATGGCAATATAAACCTAAAGATAGGAAATTTGTCAGCCTTTTTTTGAGCCATTATGTTTCTACAGAGGTAGCTATTGCTTTAATGGCTCTAGTTTTTATTAGGTGTCATCACCGTATTGAATAATAAAGGTAATTCTGCCTCAGACAAAAACAGACATCTCAGTTTCTGAGATGTTTTTTTTCCATAAAATATACTATATCATAATAATTCTTTCTTTTATAATTTATAACTTATACAGAGAGGTTTAATCCATCCCTAACAGGTTTATTTTGAACAAATCTGTTTAGATGCAGAAGCATATGTACTAAATACATGCATCTGCAGCCATACCACATGCATATCCTTCTACACTATGTTGTAGTATGCAACAACATGTAATACTGAGGACTATATATACAATATCAAACTGAGGGATTTGTTATCATCTTCTAGATATCATATGTGTGTGGCGTACCAGGAGAAAATGGCCGAAGAGGTTGGTGGCAAAAACCTCCTGCAGACCATCTGAGTTGAGGCGGTCCTGTTGAGTTAAGATACCCTCTGCCGTCGCAAACATGTTGATGACATTCCTGTAGTGAGAAGGCACACTATTTCATAATAGCATGGACAAGTTGTACTGGTATACAGCCATTAAGCCAATATGAATGAAACAATAAAAAGACACAAATCAAAGCCAAGCAAAACAAGTTGGGAACTGGTGTAGTTTGTAGTTTTACCTGGAGAACAGACCCCTGAAAAAAGCTTTGACATCCACTTGTGGATTGGGCATAATTCCTGCATTTAGATACAGACAGTCAATTCTGCTGTACCTGTGGAAAAGCACAAATCAGTTCCACATTCATAGTTAATGGTAGAAACCACAGAGTGAAGAGAACACAGAGCTGTAAAAACAGTGTATCATCAGTGTTATGATGACACTGTATATTGTTATCAGTACCTGGCCTTGACCTCCTGAGCAGCAGCGAGCACTGAAGGCACAGAGCCCACATCGAGCTGCAGTAAGTCTACATGGGCATCCATGTGGGAGGTCAGGAGGACGGAGCGGGCAGACTCGGCCCGCTGCATGTTTCTGCAGGCCAGACACAGCCGAAGCTGGCTGTCTTCAGTAAGCAGCCTGTCACACAGGGCCAGGCCAATGCCGCTAAATGTGACAGATAAACACAAGCATGTAAAGAGACTTCCCTAAGGAACTGTGTGATCACACAGATTAACGTACATGCACTTTAAAACATAAACGAAGATCTTGGAGTAACAATTGGATAAGAAATAATAAAGGCAGATTGGAAACATTAGTTATTGAGAATGCAAGTGGATAATGAGAACCTATATTACTCTGTGTAAGTCACATCATTTTGGTCTAATATCACAGACTAGTGTGTTAAATGTAAAATGTGTAGGTGCTGAGTCATTATTCATAGGATTTTTGTTGTTAAGTATTTTTGGAAGATAGTTGTATTTTTTAGTTGTATGGTAATCTTCCATTGTTTCCTACCTTGTGTTTATTACTGTGTGTAACATTTGCAATAAAGGGAAAACTCAAACACTTGGGTTTTACATAGCTGATACATCCTGAAAAAAGGAACACTATTTGTTTTAAACTACAAAGCACTGACATTTAAAGGAATATTTAGAATAGCTGAAGTCAGCAGGCCAGTAGCCATTATTTGAAAGTTTCATTAATCTTTTTTTTTTTTGACAATTACTGTTTTAATTGGGATCCTTCAATTTTTTACAACACTGTTACAAAGCTACTTACTGAGCAAGACATTTTACAGTTGAAAAATAAACTTGTCACTGCTCTCTGGTGGAAAAAACATGTAACGGCACGTTAAGTGATACTTTCTAAAATAATTATCTACTCTGTTGTCATTACTTATAAATTGAAATACACCAATACCAATATATCAGCCAGAAGCTAATATGTGGACCTGTTATTTTCTGATTGTGTGTATATGTCTGATGCACATGCAAGAACATTAGGGGAAAAGAAAATTCAAATGGTAAACATCATTTACTGACGTTACAGCTCAGAAGCATTACAGCCAGTTTATCACAGACGCAGTTAATCTCTCTACGGGACGGACACTCTCCCTCCGTGAAGCCAGTGTTTCTGCAGCCAAGTTAACACATTGACACACATTTTCAGTGTGTACAGCTAATGTAAGTGAGAGGTATCACTTTGTAACAACACCTAGTGACTATTCATAGTTAAAACACCGTTTCTACGGACTCACCTGTTCGCGCCGGTTACAACGACAACTTTCTCCATGTGTGTACGGAGGGATGAAAAACGGGACCAGAACAAAGTCTCAAATCAGTTATGAATTCAACTTTACCGGGGACGTACAGCCCATCGTCCCATATCGGTGAGAAAACAGCAGCCTATACACACGGGCGGATACGTGGTGTGATTGGATGTCAGCAAACAGCTGGCCAATCAGCTGCCACTACGGGAGGCGAAGAGGCCCAAAACGATGAAAGAGCGCAGGCATTGAAAGTGTAGCTGAGGATATTTGTGTGCGTGTTTTACAACTCTAATCCGTAAAGAAAATGACAAACAGTTGTGAATGTTCATTTTATTCTTTATTTACATGTATATCTTTGGTTTGACAGCTATTAAAAAAGTGTAACTATTAAACAATATAGGCTACAGGTAATTTATTTCTGCAAAGGGACAGAAGCATGTTTATAAAACATGTCAGTGAACTGCTGCAGAGTAAAAAAAAAAACACCTCTCATCCAGACAACAGTCATGTGATCTCTTCATCATAAAATGTAAAATGAAAAATATATAAACATCCTAAAAGGTCACATAGCTGTATTGACATAAATGTGCAATAGAAGATGTATGCATGGAAAAGAAATGAAAATAAAAAAATCCACAATTCTGTTTCAAAACCTATAATTACTGTTGAGTACTCTATAAATAGACAGCATAGGAAATACAAAGACATGAATAAATACACAGAGGTGTGAATACACCGTGTGAATAGTGCTACGTTGCATGATATCTAAAATATAAGGCTCTGTTCAAGTGTATACCCTCTGCTTGTATCTTGTTATTTACAGCACCATCTTGACAAGCAAATGGAAAACATTTAATAGGCTGTTTCTGACTCCAAATGAATTCTAAATAAATGGGAACAAAAGTGCATGGCAGAGGGAAATCATCTGTTCCATCTGCTACGGCAGGCTCTCCAACAGCTGAGCGTGTATATCCTGAAAGCTCGGCCTCTGCTTGGCGTTCCTCCTCCAGCAGCTCAGCATGAGATCGTTGTAGACTCTTTCAGGACAACAGGGTGGCTTTGGCAGGTACACCTGGGAACATGAGACAAAATTAATGTAGGATTAATGTTGAAGGGGCTGTGAGTAGTATTATTATTTGAAAACATGAAAGCAAGTTTGACACTTTGAGCTAAAGATAGAGGACAAATGAGCACAAACTGATTGTAGCCTAAGCCTGTGTGATGCTCACCTGCTTGCTCTGGTCCCTGAAGAACTCGCCTGTGTTTTCAATGACCTGCTCGTCAGAGAGCTGGGAGTAAGGCTGTTCCTTACACAGAGTCAGAATCTCCCACAGAGTCACACCGAATGCCCACACATCACTGGCCATGGTGAATTTACCCTGAGAGAACAGATGACTCAAATCCAAATGCAAGACTTAAAAACACAGCTGGACTAAACAGGGTACTTGTGTTTTAATTGGCAAACATCACACATGCCCTCAGCTCCGCACAGCACTCACCAGTAGGATGCTCTCCCAGGACATCCAGCGAATGGGCAGCACAGCCCGGCCCTGGATTCTGTAGTAGTCTCCCCTATACAGATTCCGACTCATGCCAAAATCAGCGATCTTTATGGTGTAGTTCTTACCGACCAGGCAGTTGCGGGTCGCCAGATCACGGTGGACAAAGTTGAGAGAGGACAAATACTTCATACCGGATGCAATCTGCACAGCCATGCCAATTAGTTTACTATGGCCAAGGAGCAGAGGAGACCACAAAGAATGATAAGTCATAAGTACAGTATAGTGTTCTTATTCAGTAATTACAATTTAATCTGATATGAAGATATGTGCCTACCTGACCATGCTCTTCCCCTCTTTTTGCACCTGTTCTGTCTTGTCTTCATCAGCAGCTTCTTTCAGTCTGAGATTGCAGAGGAACTGGTTCAGGTCTCCATTTTCCATGTACTCAGTGATCATACACAGTGGGTCTGTGTCCACACACACCGCCAGCAGACGGACAATGTTGGGATCCCTCAGACGAGACATGATTCGGATCTCTTTCAGGAAGTCGTTCCTGCAGCACAGCGGGGACAAACAATTGTAATTTACCGCTTGATTGACGACTGGATGAATAACAACTGCCAGCTGGAGACAAATGTATTTTTCTTTAACAAAACAACGTTACAATTGCTTTCACCTTGCATTCTTGTTGGCGTCTTCCCGCAGTGTTTTCACAGCAACCAGCAGAGGTGACTCATTGTTTCCCTCTATAGACAAATCCTCATCCAAAAAGTCCTGCATGCCCTCGGCCTCACACAAGTGCACCTTTTTCAGAAAGCACTTTTTCAGTTCATTATCCACTTGGCACCACTTAGAAACCATCTGTTTTGCTGTGTTTAATACCACTAAGATGTGTCTTTTTGCACTGCATGCACTGTATAGCCACTGCATTTCACAGTCATGCTTTTACCACACAGCAATATCTATCATTACATCTATCATCATGTATGGTGTGATAAATTTGCCTGCTTTGAAGTTCTCACTTTTAAACTTGGTGGCCTGCAATCAATCATATTTGCTATCATTTATCGGCCCCCAAAACTGCTTGGAGGAATTTTAGCAGAACTTCTTGTTGACCAAACCAATGTTGACGCAATTGATTTTTTAAATTATTATTAATTATTTTAACTTTTTACAACATGTGTGTGGGCAAACACATAACTGTGGTCCTACATTGGACTTGGTTTTTACCCTGGGTGTTAGCATATCCTGGAATTACTGGATATGACAGTATCCAACCACAAATGTATATTTTGTAACTGTGAATCACCATTTACGCAAACTGTCTCATCAAGATCCTCGTGTTCTCACATCCTTAATGAACAAAGCGTTTCAAAGTTTTGGATATTGTTTCAGAGTCAAAGCCAACACCTGTCTGATTCCCACACCAACAACCTGGCTGACCAGGTCAATCAGATTTGCTTGTCCTCATTAAACATTATTGCACCTCTCAAGGTTAGGCCTAAGTCTACAGCAAGAAAGCAGCCCTGAATAAACGAGAACATTTGCAGCTGTAAAAGGGAATGCAGAAAAGCAGAAAGCAGATGGAAAAAATCCACTCTCAAGTCTATTACCTCATTATGAAGGATTTATTTTAAACTACAATAACATGGTTAAGGATGCTAGGACACTCTATTTTTCTGAACTAATTTCTACACATCAACACTTGGACTATGGATCTGCTGATAAATCCAACCTTACATTGTGTTGATGATTGTCAATTGTTTGTATCTTATTTTACTGATAAAGTGGTAATTTTAATTAGAGCGTCTATTAACAACGCCCCCCCCGCCTCTTACTCTGAGGTCCCTCACCGGCAACAAGATGGTTTTTAACCAGTTTTATCCCATTGACTTGTCTGAGCTTTTGAAAACAGCATCACAAATGAGAGTGTCTTCCAGTCCTCTTGATGTAGTACTAACAGAATTTTTACTAAAAGTAATGGACTCTGTTGGGATCTGTCTGCTTTCTGATTCTACCGGTTGTGTCCTTGATTATTTTAAAACTGCTTGTGTGAACCCACTATTAAAAAAGCCTGGTCTGGATCACTCCCTCCTTCAAAATGTTAGACAAATTTCCAAATCACCTTTTATATCAATGATTTGCACACTGGAAAATAACATATTTGAAAGGTTTCAATCTGGACACATCAACATAAGCAGAGTGCAGCCCAATGAATCTAATATATTTCAAAATGATCAAATCAAAGCCAACAAACAGTAGCAGCTGTAGCAACAGTAGCTACAAAACTGAATATACTTCTCCAAACTGGCCCTCTCCCAGTTTCTCCTTGAAGGTGAGCTTGTGTCTGGGGAACTCTCTCATGGACGAATCTTTGCCAGCAAAGAGATTCATGTTGACGGCTGTGATGGGGTAGGTGCTGTTGTCTGCAGACTCCTGAAGGCTGATGATGTCAGCCTCCGCATAGTGGGGGGCACTGTCTGAACCACTGGTTGCAAGGGTTTTACAGGAAGTGCTCGGTCCTAATGTGGAACACACAAATACACACACTACAGCAGCTATAGCGCAAGCCAACCCTTCACAGTATTTAATGCATTGTGCTTTCACCATCTTACCAAGATGTTCGGTGGACTGAGCGAACTCAGGTAGTTTCCGAATAAGGCGTGAAGGCTCCTGGTAGTCGGCGCAGAGGGGGAAGATTCTCTCATAGGTGGAGTTGGAGGTGGAGCCACTCTCACTGATTAGAGAGGAGTGGTGGGAGGAGAAGGCCTGGGTCTGGACCGCAAGACGAGCTGTGAGTTCATCATCTAGCATGCGACGAGATGCCTAGTAAGCGTATGAGAGAGTTGAGGTTTGTTATTTGAGTTCATGCCAAAGGAGCCAAGTCTTGGAGGACAGAAATGATCAGCGTGATTGTGACAGAGGAAAAGGAGAGGTTCTCTGCACACTCAAATTTGTAAACTCTCCATGCAATGTTTCAACCTACATGGCAAACTTCCAGGTTAGCATAAAGCAGGCTATACAGTATAAAGACAAGACAAGAATCAGACAAGAACGTGGTCTTTAGAGTCATTCATCAACAACTATTATCAAGAAAAAAAGCAACTCTCTTCTCACCTTTTCAAGCATCTTTTGCCAGACTTGCCTCCACAGGATGATGACTATAATAGCCGATAGGATGGCAATGATAGCCACCAAGCAGCCAATCAGGATCCTGGTGTTGCTGTCATCCACTTTATGAGTAGGATCATCCCCTAGCCAACCAGATGAGAGTTGGGAATTGAGGTTGATTGGATTTAATCCATCACAGTTCTTATTACAGTATGCTTGTTGCACAATCGTTTTGTTACTACAACTACATTATGGTGCAAGAGATTAATTTCAATTGATCAGTCATTTCTGTTGCAATCAGCAGGGGGCACTGTATAACCAGAAAACATTTTTGTCAAACTATCCTTTAAACTGCTTTTAGACTGAAATAAATCACTATACATCATTGTAAGATGTATGACAGCAAGTCAAGCTTAATTAAGAAAAATCATAAATGAATGGTCTTCTAAATATATATAATTTTTTGATAATATATGTGGTTGACTGAAGATTATGCTCGGCCTGTGTTTTGTTTACCGCCACATCACTTCCCAGCAGCCATATATCCAACCAGCCTTTGCTCCCTCTTGCCAGATTTCCTCTCCACTTTCTGTCACTAAAATTACCACCACTACTTAAAGGAAAAAAAAAGCTACTGACCTGGTAGTGTGTTTGTGGGGTGTCCTCGTTTGCGAGAAGTCAGAGATGTATTGTACACTGCTGAGCCTATGGAAAAAAGAAAAAGACAAAGAAAGACAAAGCTGAAGGATGTACGGTCAGGCAGGAGGTGGCTATGCAGTTAATAAGTTAATTTACTTTGTGTGGGAGACTCTTAGCCCCTTCATATGCCTCATATTATCAGATCAAAGTTTCGAACGAGGCACTGATTGATGAGTGACACCCACATTTGATCCTATTTTACCTGACTGGAAGGCCACCTCGCTGAACAGCATCCAAAGGTCACTGAAGTGGAAACGGCATTTGATGGTGCTGGCTGTGCGGTCACCGAGGGACACTGTGACAAAACGGGCGCTTTGGCTCACGCGGTCAACAGTGGGCTTGAAAGTCACCGGGTCAGCCTCCCATTCTGATCCTGAGCGGAAGTAACAGCTGGCCTGTCTGAACATCCTCACCCCTCGACTGAACATGTTATTACAGTGAACCTGCGGAGTTGGAGGCGGGATGTATATCTAAAAGCAAGCATGACCAAAATACTAAAAACTGTAGCTAATTATCCTGTTAATGTCTACAAGAAATATGCATTATGTTCTCTACATGTGACCATGATGACTAAACGGGTGCATTAAAGTGTTCAAAACAGTTAGATTTGAAGGGGGCATGATGCTGGAGCAGGTGTAGTGATGACTAATCTGTCTTGCTGTGCTGTGGCTGAAAAACATTATCCTCCATCTCTGGCCACAGCACTTTCCCATGACAAATAGGGTAATTATACAGAAGATGTAATTTTCACACTGCGAGCCTATTAGGATCATTTTATGCCCCAATAAAATGTTCAGCTGCTATAGAAAACGGGTGCTTGGCCCAGTTTGGCACAGTTCAGCGTAGTGTTGGCTCAGCAATTTTAAAAATATTCCATTTTTTCACTATTTAGCTGTTCAGGGAACTACCCCAAAGTTCTCCTGTGCGCTGACTCCTTACCTTCATGGAGGTGAAGTTTCGCACACGGTCAAACTCAAAGATCATCTCCACGTAACCTTTGGGGAAGCTCCTGTTGCTCCAGCCCACATAGTCGTACCCTGGCCACATGCCGTATATGTGGCTGTGGAGAAAATCATCCAGACCCCATGTGCCGTCTGTCAGCTGACCGAGGCCCTTTGTCAGTCTGACGGGGGGATGGATGGAATTTAAAATGTTATTCATTGATTTTTAAATTCATGATTGCTATATTTCAGCTTGAAAAAAAATCATATCCTCAATTAGTTTTGACAAAAATTACTGCACTCAAGGGAGGTCAGCAAAATTATGAAGATGATGGAAGCAAGCTGTAATTATGGCCGACATCTTTCATTCTAGAAGTAGCAATAAAATCCAGACCTTTCAGCTGATATTCCATCATAAACAGAGTCATTAAAGTAGACATCTAGGCCTCTGTAGATCATTTGGTGCCCATCTGGAATGCTGTAAGACACCAGGCCATCTGCAGGGGACAGGTTAAAGGTCAAAGATTACTTTCTGCATGCGTATAAGATAAGATTATAATTAACCAAGTTGTCAGCATGTCAAACGTCATAAGAAAACGGTAAATTACAAAATAATGAAAACAGACTTTGGTAATAATTATAAAAAATATTTTCTATATGTTGCTGGTGCAACTAGGTGAAGACGTTGTATTCTATATTATGGAAAGTAATGACTAACCCAGCCATTCACAGCCGTAGAGCTCCACTCTCATGCATACAATCATAGAGTGGTCTGTCACAGGCATAAAGCGGACAAAACGAGCAATGATGGGAGGCTCCAGATCCTTCAGCACCACATCATACGCATTCCTGTTCCCCTCAATGACCTGGCAGGGGAGACGCAGATGACACGAATGAGACTGAAAGTGAAACGTGTCAGGGGATAAAAATCTAATCATGTAAACATACTGTACATGGTGCCAGCTGCTTTGACGCCTTAACCAAAAAAACAGCTGCAGGGAACTGGGGTAGCTGAATGACAAAACTGCATGTGTGTCATGTTAGCAGCATATACTGTATGTGATTGCCAAATCATCTTGAAATCGGGGGACCTTGAAAAATCTGAAAAGAAACTGGTACCATTTATCATATGCCAGCACTGCTGCTTGTTCTGATGTTTCTTAATTGACCACATTTCCCATGGAGTTTGCTACTTTTTTTGCTGCAAAAACATTATCTTTTGGTCCCCCATCTTGCCATCTCTCACCAGGAAGCATTCAGATCAGATCACTTACTTCAGTAAAAGTAAAAATACTGTGAAAATACTTCTGCATTAAAAATGTTGATTGAATAAAAGAACTTGCTGTAACTAGTCAAGCTGGTGGTAATTTTAGTTTAATTTATAACTTTGCATCAAATCTTATAAGCTCATCACATCATCATGTAAAATCTTTTGTCTGTAAAGTAAATGGTCAGTAAAACTGTGTTGTGGCAATTTCTGAAATAAACAACTTGAAGCAAAACACTTTCTGTAGCACATCTTTCTGTAGGTTTATTCAACATCTATATAGATGGACTCACAGCAACTCACATACATCAGTGCTGAAGATGTCTCAGGCAGTACGTTATATATCCTGCTTCAGGGTCAAATTTTTCTCATCACAGTTGTCACTGAGCTCTGAACAGTATGGTGTGATGAGATGTCTGTCGTCTGTCTTTCCAATTAAATACATGTAGTGAAGTAAACTGGACAATATTTCCCTCTGAATTAAAGTACAAGTACCTCAAAAGATTCAAAGTAGCTACCTGTTTATAGCTAACTAATATACAATACTGTGATACACAAAGTCTAAACTGAATCATACATGTGAGTCTGGAATGAGAAACAAAGATACACAGTTATATGTATCTCACCTGCCTTCCCTTCCTATCGTGCCAGCCCACCCAATTGCTGCCGTCACGGCTGTACTTGATCCTGTATCGCTGGGCAAACTCATTACCCATGCCATCAGCATGGCGACCTTGGGTGCCCACCAGTGTGATAAAGTGCAGTGAACGCAGGTCCACCTGGAGATACTCCTTGAAGCCATCTGGCTCTGTCATGATGTCAGGACACCAGGCCCCATCACCGTCTCCGTTATCTAAGTCAAGTCTGAAGAGGAGCAAGACAAATAAGACAAGAGGCAGTGAATAATGGGAAGGGCAAAGCGCTCAGGTAAAGAGGAGAGGAGCATGACAATTAAGAGGAAGAGGGAAAGAAAAGATGGATGAAAAGGGGAAAGACATGTTGCAAATTGATACAAATAGAGGAGGAAGAATTGGTTATGCTAATTTATCTACAATACATGATATTTTACATGTTTATCAATTCACATTTGCATTGAAACAGCTTCGACTTCTCTATATTGCCACTGGACATATTGTAAAACAATATATCTATAATTATTCAACGTGTGTGTGAGCTTCAAAAGTCATTCTTGACCTTGGAAACAGCAGGTGACCAAACAATCTCACCTCAAGGTCCATTTAATAGCTGTTCTGGAGCTTTTGATCAAATCATGCATCAGCAGGTGGAGAAATAAACTACAACATCTACAATCCCAGGACAACTGAGCAAACTCCATCGGCTGTGCGTAATTTGATGGTAACCTCCAGCAGTTTCCAAACGGACCTCTCCTATTCTGTTTCCAACAAGTCCAAGGCAGTTCTTTTTGAAAGCCAAGCAATGGTTAGTTTGGAATAAATAGGAAAGGAAAGAGGAATTTGGTGTGAATGGCAATGGCCACCAGTGTTAAAAAGAGAAGTATCACTTATCACTTATAATATACTGCTTATTTTGGAATTAAAATTTTGTAAACACCCTACACTAGGATGGCTAGGTAGGCTAATTACTTACTGTACTAATGACAGGTTTCAAGTATGTTGCCCAAAGCAAATTACATTAAAAAAGATTTATGAAAAGAAATGTAACATCAAACATGCCTGCCAAATCTTGCTGCAGTTGAGTCAGACCACTGACTGGAGGCAGAGATGTCCTCATCCTGAATCTGCCCACCGGTCATACCGAGAGGATATCGACACATTTCTACAAACACATGAAGCATCATTGATACAAATGCTGCTTCACATTGTGAATATGTTTGTACATATGAGTGTGAGACCTGAATGCTGTCACGCACCATAAGAGTTTTTGCAGGATGTGAGGAGTGATGTGTAAAGTGGTCAGCTCTCTTCCCTTCCCCCCCAGTCCCCTTCCTGCAGCCCTGCAAGGCCTCTGAAGCCAAACAGAGGCATCACTGTGTAGGTGCCAGTCTAAGCAAAATTAAACGGGAGTGGCGTCGCTCTTCATTTTTCGTCCCTTTTCATTTCTACACCTGAGAGACAGTTTTAAAGCTCTGGTATCTGCTGATTAACTCTTACGTTGTGTGGGCACAAAAGAAATATGTCTAACCACCAACAGATTCTAGATTATAGCGTGAATTTGATTCAGTGACCAGACTGTACATCTTCTCACTGCATCTACCAGAGTGTCTCTGTTTATTCTTACCATCTTTACCTGGTAATTAAGGGACGTCTGTGTTTTATTCACCTTGCCACACCGAATGCATGACACACTTTGAGAGCAGCAGAACAAATAAGCCTTTTACTGTATAAATATTCTAAGTGGGGAAGTCAAATGAGTGCATGTGTGTGTGTGCGTGTGTGAGGGAGAGAGAGAGAGTGTGTGTGTGTGTGTGTTACCTACAACTATGCCTACACAAGTACCTTTTTTCCCCCTATGTGAATGCCCTGCACTGCTTGTGAAAGGTCTGCCTGTTCTGAGGGTATTTGCTGTCTGACCATTAGGTAAACCACATACACACACTCTCTCACACACACACACACACACACACACACACACACACACACACACACACACACACACACACACACACACATTCTTGCATTCTAAGCCCACCCACCAAAATTGCTTTCCTTCTCCATCTTGTCAACATGTGTATCCATCAGTAATATAAAGAAGTTATTTTAAGCCTATATATGACATATCCACATTCACTGGCTCATACTTGGTGCCTTGATATCATATTGAAAACTAAACCTATGTAAAATTAAACACATTTTATTACTGATTGTCTGACTGGAATGTGCATTAAGGTGTGATCCCTGCAACAACCATCCTGTCCTACCTAAGCGTCCTTGAGCAAGATATTTGCTCTGAGAAGGAAGCACATGGATGTAAAAAGATTAATATCTACTATACCTGGGTTGACTTGAGATCGTACAGAGGCAACCAGTAGGATAAGGTATACATGGTGTGAGAGCTGTGGAACCTTCATCACCTTCATCCCTTCTCTGCACACCTGAAAGTTTCAGGAAGGTTGTAGATCAGTGGAAGAGATTAATGACATAAGCATCAAGGTACATATATTATTATGGTGAGATATTATTTAGGTTTTCATATATAAGAGGTTTTATTCGTCACATACAAAAACAATATGTGAACTGAAATTCAGGGTTGCCCACTCTTTAAGCGGTGCTAAAAGACTTCATAATAATAATAATAATAATTACATTTAGAGTAAAAAGGGAATATAACATTTCAGGATAGTAGGATGTTACAATTGGTTCTATAGAGTTGAACATGCCTAAAACCCTGGTGAGATCCACAGTGGTGAATGCACACACAGCCCCCCTTGTAACCCAGAGTTTTGCTCTCTCCCACCACAGTACCGGCATTTTATTTACCTTGTAAAAGCCCTGTGAAGTGACATATACCCCCAAAACACTCTGGTATAATGTCCTAGAACTTAAACAACTGTTCAGAAACTGCTGTTACAGTCTTTCACATGGTGGGTTCACCAAAGATTTGTTCTTCTGTGTTGGTGGGCTGTGTACATAATGTAGTCTTACTGCATGTAGTATAGTGCACTAAAACCTTCTTTTAATTATTGATTAAGAATGCTTAAGTAAAGAATATTAGACACTGATTTAATATTGAAATCATGTGTCTGTAATGCATTTTTCAGTAGAGTTTAAATTTCCAGAGAGCTGACATGATGATCACTGACTAACTTTCTAGTGGAATAACTTTTGATACTTTTTACTGATTAAAATAATACAAATACAATGCAAATTAAGCTCAAATATTGTACCATTCTTTACCATAATGTCTACAGGTAAATCTATTTACTTGCATTTGTATTACTTGCAATTACTTTAAACCCGTATAATGTATTTTCCTGGATGATTACTCTCTGTACTGAGCTGAGCTGACACAAACTTCTTTCACAGTCAACGTGGACACTGGAGTTAACAGCCACATATAAGAAAAATATAGATTTGACTTACTTTTGTAATGTCTTCTCTCCTGATTAGGAAACCATCCGTTTGATGGAATATTCCACATCTACTGTAAGTTGATGCATTCAGCACTACAAGTCGCTGACCTCTTCCTTGCAAGGACTTTCTGGGAATGGAAAAGAGAGAGAGAGAAAGGAAATGAAGGCTGATGTAACAGTTTTTCTGGCTGGAGGAAAGAAACAGAGAAAATAACACGCTTTGGGATCTTGAAGTCAGGCCAAAATCCCAGAATTCCACCTGATCCACAAATGGTTTCAATTATGGCCCACAGAGGCAGCTGAGAGCAGCAGTATCTGGCAGCTTCCACCAAGAGCTACTGACAAAAACAAACCGGGGCTTCATTTTCCTCCAGAGGAGAACCTGCTAATTACTGAAAGAGACATGATGTTTTAGAAGAAACTATCACTAGATGCAAACAAGATGAGTCACAGCTGGGTAAAAGTAAAATGGACACAGTAGGCATAGCAGAAAGGAGGCAGAAGCTTGTTTTGATTATCAAAAATCAATCTGTAAATCAGAAGGGTTTTTTAACATAAAAAGCACATAACTTGTAGGCTATTGTAAATCATGTGCTGATGTCTGCATTTTCTTTCTCAAAGAACATTTACATTCCTCATACAAAACTTTCTATACAAAGAGTTTTACAGATACTTGGAGCTCACGTTAACGTTTTCGTTATGATGTCTTCAGTTACTTTTAATACCCATTTAGCAAAGAATAACACTGAAAAAGTTTCATTTTCTACTCACAGTCATTTAAAACTGCTGCTGCAGCAAAGTAATCAGGAAAGGCTTCCTTTAGGATGTTATGTGTGAAAACAAAGGCTAATGTAGGCTTCACTAAATGTAAAACTGAAAGCCATTCCTTTTCTTTTTTTTTTTTTTTTAACACACTAGCTTTTATTTTTCTTGAAACCACAATATTTTTTAAAGGTTTTAACATATGGTCCCTGACTGCTAACTGCTAATCATAAAAAGATAACTGTTGTCATAATGTTATCTTGTAAAATAGCTCAGTCAAATAAGAAGCTTCAGTAAGAAGCTGGTTAGCTTAGTTTAGCAGTCTTTATGCTTTTGTAAGCTTTGCATAACACAAAATGACATAGCACTGCTAGATGTTCCCAGTGAACCTGCTGCTGGATGTAGCTTCATATTTAGTGTACATCAATGAGTGTGTTGTTAGAGTTGGACAGAGACAGCTAGAGAAACTGGTGGTTCCCAGACTTGCTTACATCTGTAGGAGAGCATGAATATCACCCAGAGAGTTGGTAAGTTTGACTGGAATATTAATGACTAATGAGCAAGTGCATGAATAGCTATGTTTTTAACAAGCATAAGATGTTTCGATGTTTCGGGGATGTGATGTTTACCATGTTCACCGTCTTAGTTTAGTGTGTTAGCATTCTAACATTTTCTAATTAGCACTAAAAACAAAGTACAACTGAGGCTGTATTAAATAAAATCAACATGACCTGATGATGGCAGCTAAAGGAAAAGTCAGAGGATAGCCAAGTAATTACAATTCATCCTGAGGGGAACATGACTAGCAAATTTCATGGCAATCCATTCAAAAGTGGCTGAGACATGTCACTCAAAACCACAAAAATTGTCAACCTCAAGGTGGCACCTGAGGAAAATACTGGGGATCACCAACTTCAGGGGGATTCATCATCTGGGAACCACGAATGTTGTGCCGATTCACTTTGTTATTGTGTGATATTTTACTAAATTAGTACAAACACTGACCAGCTGAAAAGCCAGGGGATGGCCAAAGTCATTAGGATTCAGGAGGGGTGTAAATGTCGGCGCAAGGTTTTTTGACAATCCATCCAATAGTTGTTGAGATATTTCATGCTGGACTGAAGCGGTGGACCGATCGACTGACAGTGCCATCCATAGAGCCACAGTGCTTGTCTGACTGAAAACATGTATAGTTAAACAATTATTTAATTAATAATTATTTCTGAATTAAGTATACCTAATACTACAAGAAGGGGTGAGCAGAATATTTTTAATTTTAATCAAGCAAATGAAAATACAGGCCTGGAGGCCGCCCACTATCTATGTCAGCAGCAGCTGCAGGGTGTCGTGGCTGGATGTGGGTGGGTAATGGCTGACATTCTTCATATTTTCTGGTTTATCTGTAGTGTTACATTAGGCTGCTGCTGTCTGCACACAAAGTGAGCTTAATAGGAGATGACCCTGCCCAATGACCACAGCTGGTGTATCTCTAACAATAACAGAGAGCTCTCACCCTCACAAAGGGCCCACATAACCACATCCCATTTTCTCAACCATTACAAATACTGACGAGGAAAACATTTTGAAAAGGTCAGCTCAGGAATTGGTGTAGCTTTTCATTAAGTTAGAGACATATTTCAATTTCTATCACCCACGGACACAGATTTCAGCAATTAGTAACTCGCACCAAATGAACATATCATGACACTAGATGGCATTTAAGAAAGGGCATGTAATTCCACAAGGAGAAACATTGATTTAAGTGCACTTTAATTTTTAGTACACTTCATGTGAACAGACCTTGGGAGAGACTGACAGAGAAATATGGATAGATGGATACAGCAGACAGGATTGTAAGTGCAAGAGAGCGGGAAAGAGGTGACAAGCTTTAGGGAAGAGGGGAGGAAGGTGAGTGAGGGAGAGGAAGAGGGAGAGAAGAGGGGCAGGAAGAGATTTATCTATTTTGGAAAGAGCTCCAAGACACGTCCCCAATTCAGTGATTCAAAGTGTTGGCTCACAGTCAGCGAGGTTGAGCTGGTGCCACAGCTGGCCAGAAGGATGTGAAGTGAGTCCCGAAGTCTCATTCACCTCCATCTTTCTCTTAATTAGTAATTCAGGACTTTCCAAAGAATTCTCCGAAGGGTGGAGCAACAGTGATGCAGCAGTTCATGGTTGCCGCAGTACGGCATTAACAAATACTACTTACTGTACATGCTGGCTACATTTTTAAACAGCAGAGACAAGACTGTAGCAGCACCGGCACACAGTGAGCTGTTTCCCTCTGACACACAGCATCTTCAGAAGATGTTTTTTAATAATATAAAACAAGATGAAGAATAGTATGAATTAAATCATGCTATGTATTTTATGCAGCACATATAGGTTAATCAAACTATATACAATGAAAAGAGAAAGAAATCATACTGAGAGATACATGCTCATTTTTAAACCCATGTGTAATTACAGGTTAAGTGCCATGACAAGCACAGTAAGGTTTTAATTTTCACACAAAAAATGTATCAACATATCCAGACAGACTTGGCAAAGGGATATTTTCTTTATAGATCTTTAGAAAACAGCAAAAATTACCATGTCCATGCCGGATGTGTCACAAATCCTTAAACACAGACACAACCACAGTGTAACAAGCCCAGCGAGTGGCGACGGCACCAAGTAAGGTAACTAAACATATTTATAGGTACAACAATCACCAAACAGACACGCACACAGAATGTAACATACTAACAGACAGCAGAGATTTTCAGAGAGAGCCTGAAGCACCACAATATTTGTATTATCTGTTATTTCAGGTGGATCGGGACCAAACACAGCCTCCAAGAGTGAGGGAGGCCAGTTTGACGACAGGGAATACAGTACCGAGTACAGTGGTGCCAACCAGGACTCTGACTCCGAGGACGACGAAGACATGGCAGGTTCATTAAGCGGGAGAAGAGTGAGAGGGAGGTCGGGCATCCGGGCATCAGAGATTGTAGAGTCAGAATATTTCCACATCTAACTCTGTGAAGTAAGGGTTTATTTCAACCAAACCAGAGTTAGTAATTGTTGGAACAGTGAAAAGCCTAACCAAGATGATGTTGGTGAATTTTATTTTAAAAAATGTGTGTAAGAATATTTCCTGTCGTGACATTTTACGAGTTTATTTTGTTTGTTTGTTTGTTTGTTTATTATTATATAACGAAAAGCTTAGAGAGCTTGTGTAATGTAACAATCTTGCTGCATGCACATGTCTCTCAGCTGAAAGTATTGGGGGTGGCCTGAGCCATACTATCGGACTATCACTTCTTAAGGTACACGGCGGTGTTATGAGACAGGACCTGCTGAGGCTAGCTGGTTAGCGTGCTAACTTCAGTAGAAATCTCTCTGCAACACAATACTAGACATTTTTGACATGACGTCAGAACTCTTACTTCTTCACATTCTGCCAATAATGTTAGTTCATTTTTTAATGTTTTAAATGTCTTAAATGTCAGAAGTTCAAAACGTTACTCAGAAGAGTGGTGAATCTAATAATTCATACTTACAGATGATGCAGTTTACTAATACATAACAATACATGATTTCTGTGTAATGAAGTCCTTCAGATTCTGAATTTCACCTGTTTTCCATTGGGTTAGTGCATAAGTGCAATGTTGCCTTGTGCAGCTTTAGGAGCACCACTACACAGCCATCTCATCCCCTAAGCAGTCCGACAGACTCTCTGCATTCAGCACGTTAAAAAGTCGAGCGGCACCGTCAGCACCCAGTCCCTCCCCCTGCCCCCAGCTGTCCCGGTCATCACTCTCGTCTGTGTTCGATTCATACTCTGATCCGATCCCTGACTCCCTAAACCGGAGCAGCTCCAGGGCTCCCAGGACCTGTTCCCCGAGCACCGAGCTTTCATCTGGGACTCCATCGCTGGGTGTCTCCCCTGTGTCCTGGCCTTGCTCTTGGCGGTCCGGCCCCCTGGAGGAGAAGCGAAAGCACTCCAGCCGAACTCCACTGCCGCCAAGCCCCAGAGGGCTTGTGTCGGTGCCTGTGGTGCCTTGAGAGCAGGGCCCAGGTAGGGCCGAGACCCAGGCACTGTCACTAATCTGGAGCAGGGACTGAGCTGCTAAAGTGCCTGTAGATGAAGAAGAGGTGAGCGGTTCACGAAGCACGCTAGGTGGCTTGGCTCGGAAAGTTATCTCCAGAAGACTGTCCTGGGAGCCCACTAAGGACAGAGAAAAGATATCAAAAAAAGGACGTGTAAGATTAAATAAAGCACAGAGAGAATTGGTAGTTATCCCATGCATGAAAGATGGTTTGAGCAAAGCAGAGGAGATTATATGGAGTGAGGTGACGTCTGTGCTGATAGGATTTGATAATTCATGATTATATGGCAGCATACTGCCACTGGCTAAATGCAGGGAGGGGAGAGCAGAGAGCAGTACTGAATCCTCTGAGAGGGCTGCCATGGGATAATTAATTGCATGCCAGAAGTGGATGAGAAAAAAAGCCATAACGACGGGAAGGAGGAAAGGGAGAAAAGGATGATTTTATGATGAATTAGTACGGGGGGAAAACATGGAAATAGTGGAAGATTTGATAAAATAAGATATGTACTGTAAATGAAAAAGAAAAGCAGAATGGTACGACAACAACGGACTTTCACTCACTAGATGTTAAGTGGCCAGCAGCCTTGAGCTCCAGTTCCTGGATCTGTTTGACCAGCAGGGAAATGTGTTGCAGCAGGTCGGTGTTCTGCTGCAGCAACCTCTGCACTCTGGCCTGGGCTTCAGTCCGCGCGCACACTTCCACCGTCAGCTGGTCCTGGAGCACATGGACCTGAACAGACCAACACACACACACACACACACACACGCACACAAACACATCATTAACAGCACGCACACAGTTTGCACATGTGACAAAAACAGAAATAAACCCTCATTGTTAGGAATTCATTGTTAAGGATTCTTTGCTTTATACAGTGCTACTTTATTCGTTCTGATTATTTCTCAAAACTCAGTCTGCCATTAAGAGGCAACCTGCTAATTAAATCCCACAGTGGCTCTTGAGTTGGGAGCTCGTTCGGTCAAAAGTTTCACTCATTAGACAGTAATGACACATTGGCATTATGAATCGACTACTGTTAATGAGATTGGCCAAAGTAAGAACGAAATTCTAAACCTCAAAAGAGGTTTGCTTCAAATTTTCAAAGGCCTTGAAACCAGGCTCAGATAGTTTTAATTTTAAGTGAGAAACTTTTCAAAGGTTTATGTAAAAGTTGAGCGGAAGAAAAGAGGTGAGAATTTAAATACATCCTATTTAACACAGCACTGATTGAAAATGGAAAGAGCGCATCATTCTAATTATCATTATTCATATTAGATTAGAACTTTTTTCTCATTTGCCTGATTTGTGTTTCATTATGTGCTCAGAACATTTTGTGTCAAGCTTCATGCACTTTTCCAATAACCTTAATTAAGGGATTTTGATGAGTATTTTAATAGCACAAGTTATTATTAAGTTAATTGTTCATTTGGTTGTCAGGTACTCATCCTTCAACAAACATGCTTAAAATGTTGTTAATTTAAAAATTTGTCACGTCATTGAGTGAATTTTCGTTGATCTCCTGACTCTTCCTCTAGTGAAACCTAACATTTGTGTTTTTTTGTAAAATGTCTCAAAAACCTGCTAAACTAAAGATATTCCCTTCAGCCTCATATGTGGTTTGTGCTAACAAAGATTAGCTAAACTAAGATGGTGAACGTGGTTGAGCTATATAACCAAAGCTGCCAACTCTCACAGATTGACTGTGAGACTTGTGCAGTTGACACTTTTCACATGCTCTCATGCCACATGTCCATTTTCTCAGGCCGTGAAAAACAAATTTATAACCGATAACGATGTGGTGCAAATCAACTCTTCCCAGCTGATGCAACAACAGCTTACAGTACATTGGGATAGTAATCAAGTGCACCCACTCAGGCGCTGTGAGTCACAGACAGTTCGTGACAGAGTACCAACAACAGCAAGTTTGATGAATTAATCTCTGTCTGTCATTGATTAATTGATGTCTTTTACTATCTTTAAATTTTTATATTTTAAAAAAAGGGAGTTAAACAATTCTGAGTTACACTGAGAAGGAATAATCATAGTGCATTCCTCATAATAAAGAGCACTAGACCCTGGACTTCACATCACATTCTTTTACAGTGATCTTGATTCAACTATTGACAGTATGTGTCTTAAAAAATACATTTCATATGTTAATACAAATCTTATATGTTGTGATTGAAGGTGCAATAAATAATGTGCCTTTAAGAGCTTATATCCCCAATTGAATACCACAGCATGTGACATTCAGTAGGGTTCTGGGTTAAACATGCCGAGAGTAAGACGGCTTTATTTGATGTATAATGTAATCATAATATGTTGCTTTTCAGTAGTTGATAATATGATAAAAGCATGTACAAATGCAGACAATGGTTTTCAAACCAATGTTAAACCCTTGAGGTGAGTACTACAAATTTCAAAATCAAATCACCAATTGCATCTGTTAACAATATATGTGAATCATATGCCCAGGTTCTGCTGAGTTTCTGGAAATACTTATTCATCTTTGAGCATGATTATTGACTTTGCTTTTCACAAAAATCCTGAGAGATGAGGAGACCTGTGCAGTGGGTAATGTCACAGAAGGCCTTCTCAGTTGTTGATTTGTATGTTCTATGAAAATTTATTTGTGATCTATTCTTATTTTTTTATTTTGATAAAAGGCTTACTGTAATCACTGTATAGACCGATGCTGCCATTAAGAGTTCCATCAGGAACAATACAAAAATTGCAGTCGGTACCTGTGCTGAAGCTGCCAGAGCCTGTTGTTCCTGCTGCTGCAGTTGTTTCTGAAGGAGCTGGACCTGGTGCTCTTCAGAGCAGGGAGCCTCTGCCACTGACTGACCCGACACAGAGGCTCCAATGATGGGGGAGCTTAGCAGGAGAGATGGGTCATCGGACACCTATGGCAGAGATGACAGTAAATTGGACTGACTTTTGATGACTAACAGCATCAAAAAGTTTAAGTAACCTGTATTTTAATTCCTTTGAGCGTCTGTTTTGCGGTTTGTTTGGAATCACCAGAAGTAGATATTGTGTTGAACACACTGAAACACAAGCATCACCCACAGAAAAATTAAGTTTCATCATAATAAATACAGAAAATAAAGAAAAACATAACCATCCCAAACTCAATTGCTACCAAAAATAAAAACAACAACAAGAATCTTGTATATTACCACTTTAAATAAAGTTAACAAAATATAAAAATCACAGCAAGAGTACATATGGGTGTGGATGGTCTGCACAGTAGATAAAATTAAAAGTAAAGTATAGGGTAGGAAAGCCAACAATCCTACATAAAGGAGTAACAATGGAAAGTAAAACATGAAAGCTTGTGTGTAGAAACACATCTAAAAATGTGGCTTAAAAGCTGACAGTCTCCCTCTGCCAGTCTGAGCTCCTTGGGGAGGGGTAAGAGAGAGTGAAGAGACGCTACATCGGCAGTGACAAAACTGTCTCTTTTCATTCTGACAAAAATCCCCGGGTGGATACTTAAAATACTAAATATCATCGTTACTGCTTGATGTTCACGGCCTTCCAGAAGAAATTTTGTGACAAAGCCTTAAAATGTGCTTAATTTTTTCTACACTTTGCTGGACGTTCCACCTCAAAATGCTACTTTAGTTAGTTTCCAAAAAACAACCTTCTGAAGCACACAGATTGGGTCTCTACAGCAGAAAGATGTTGTGAAGTGGGGAGAGAGAGGGAGAGAGATCAATACAATATCTACCACGTCAAGTAATAAATAAATAAAAATAAAGAGGGTGTTTCACACCAGAGGAAGATCAGTAAAGATGATGTGGGTGCTCTATTGAGGCTGCTCTTGATGAAGTACTTTGTATTGCTGTCTGCTTCTGTGATAGCTTTTCACTTGTAAACTCTTTGGTTTTGAGGGGCTGACACCAAAGCATGACATTTTCTGAAATTTTCGACCTTCAAATGATCTTCTTTTGCAATTGTACAAGCTGAAGATGGAAATAACTTGAATCAATTACACATCAGTCGGAAACAAAACACAAAACAGCCATATTTTCTTTTTTTGTTAAGTTGCCATGGCTAACGTGTTAGCAAACCATTGCCTTATTTAGCAACATTAGAATTTAGTTGGAGTCATGTTTCAGCCATTCTGAAATATAAATGTCCAAATCTTATATTCACTCTGCTTTTAGCTCTGGTTATGTCTCCGACAACTTCTGACAAAAATATCCCCCTCTCCCCGGCTCTCTCCCCCTTAACCAGTCAAGGCAGATGGCTGCTGACCCTTGGTCAAGGTTCTGCTCAAGGTTTCTACCTACTAAAAGGGAGTTTTTCCTTGCCCGTGGCGCCAAGTGCTTGCTCATGGTGGGAATTGTTGGGTCTCTGTTAATGTTATTACAAAGAGTACAGTCTAGACCTGCTCCATGAAACGTGCACTGAGATAACTGTTGTTATGAAATGGCATTATATAAATTAAATTTAATCAAAATGGACTTTTAACTGAAAACAGTTACCTACCAAAAACTATGCTATGAGAGCAGTGAGTGAACTAAAACCGTAAAAATGGGTGCTTAAAAAAACAAAAAATGAGCTGAAAAACGTCAAAACAAAGAAGGTCTGTGGGTTTGTCCTTTCACATACATGTAGCCATTTGATCCACTGTTAATATAAATATATCGATGATAGCAGCTTTAAGCGTAGTTCTAATGGTTGCGAGTTATATTTAAATTTGTTTAATCTAATTGTAAAGATGGTGTTTTAACGGGGATTCAATCAATGGAATCTAATAATATATCTACAGATTGACTGGACAGGTTGCTGTTGGGGGGATTAGACCATACAGAAATTATGACTCACACAATTGTGTTAGAGTGCTTCTGTGGGAAGAGCAGTCATGAAGAACATGACTTATCTGTCATATCTGAGACAGGAGATCAATATGGTGGACTCTCTTCTCACTAATACCTGACTGTGCGAAGGACACTTGACCTTCAAATTACACACAGGAGAGGGAGAAACTGCACAGGAGATCTTACCAAATGAAATACTGCTGTTTCATTGAAATGCATTTTTTGCAATATTTAAATAATAAAATCTAATTTTCTTGTTCTCAGGTAACCATGTAATTAGAATGTCAATTAAAATCTAACCAAGTAACTCTTCGCCACTTCTCTTGAGTAATATAGCTGCAACAGACTTAGTTGGAATAGCAGAAAGCAGCTTGTTTTACATCTCAGGATTGGCAGAGCAATGCTAGAAAACCTTGCTATGTTTTCATTAATAAACCAAATGATTGCATCAATATTGAAGAGCTTTGTGGAGAATTTCTTCACAAACAAGCCTTGAAGACGCGGGTGCTCGCCATACATCCCTCAGTGGCATTTTCTGATCTTCATATCGCTCCTCCTCATGAGGCCATACTTTAATCATGAACCTCTGTGAGCCTCCCAGAATTATTTATCACCAGGAAATTTTAGATCAAAACCTTTCTAAAATACTGAAAAATGTGTTGTGCAAAAACACATCCTGTTCAGGAGGGAAAGAAGGAATGAACGTATGCAAATGCAACAGGAAGACTGATCTAACAACTTGCTTGTGTCATGTCTGGAAGAGGGAACTTGAAGTGGAACTTTCCTTGCAAGTTGAGACAACTCTGACGACTTCACTATGACATTTTCAGGGTTATTTTCTCAAACTTTGGAGCACTCCCTCTGGAGCCACAGGAGACATTATACAACTGTTTTCACAGTCTGAGTAGTGCCCCTCATGATGAATAAACTGAACTTGATGTGTAAAATTGGTGGAGTTGTTGCTGATCCTACTTGCTGTTTATTTAGTCTCCTGAATACAAAACAAGTGATTTAAAAAAGTTACTATGGGTTTTGGGAAAGTGCTCGGGGCATTTTCACTATGTTGAAAACCTGTTAGTTGCAGCCCTATTATTTATTTGCTGTGTCATAGAGAGTGGTGCCATAAGCATGTGCAAATTACACAGTGCAGGGTTGGCTTCATCTCTGCAGGGTTTACACAGTGTCCTGTATTGGAATGGAGTGAAACAATAGAGGGGTTTTGCATTAGCGACAGTGAAATCATCAAGGACAACTTCTATACTCTACCTTGCCATCGTTACCAAGGGCCTCGTCCTTTTTGCTCTTCTCCAGGTCTGATGAAGAGACACACTCAATGCTCTCCTCTGTAGTGGCTTCAAGGTCAGCCTCCTCTGACAATGCAAACCTCTTCTTTGCTGCAGAGAGACCAGATAAATACAGGTGAGGAATTTTCATGATATCATGACCATTGTGGCGGTGGACAATGACATATTTTCTCAGAGAGGTGTGCTCAGTTACCACTGTTTGTTTTTGCAGGTCGCTCTGGGTTTTTGTTTGTGCGAGAGAGGGAGAGAAGAAGAGAAGGCCTGGGGAGTTTGTGTGTTGCTGTACGACGAGGAGAAGTAGATTGAGTTTGTGTGTGTGGCAGACGGAGAACGCGAAGGAGAGAGACAAAGATGGGGGGAGGGTACTTTATTTATGGATGCAATTTTGTGTGAGTGTGTGTGTAAGATACCTGGCACTGCCTCCGATTCCTCCGCCTTCCCCTCCTCATCCTCCTGGTCGTCGCTTTTCTGCTGCAGGGTCAGCTGGTGACACACGTCAAACGCCTGACCCACCGTCCGCACGATCCTCATGGCCTGAGACTATAAGGGAGGACACAGAGAAAAAAGTGTGTGTGTGTGTGAGTGTGTGTGTTGGAGTTTTGAAAATGTGTGGGGGAAGCAGCAGCAGGAGCAAAGCAAGGGAGGATGCAAAAATGAAGGGACACAGCAGGGGAGAAAATGAGGTGCCAAAGGAGCTGCGCAGGGAGAAAAGTGGGTGGATGAATGAGTATGTGCATCTGTGCACAGGTGAAGAGAAAGAAGATGAAAAATAGGCACAATAGTAGCAGGAAGAAAACGGGAAATGTTGGGGCAGCATGGGAGTTGACAAATGAAGACAGATCCTGAAACAGTTGGGGAGATGGAGACCAAATAATAGTCAGAAGATATTATGAGCACAGAGGTTCAGCTGCTTGTCCTTGTCTGTCTGCTCTGCATATGTTCTGCTGCCACAGTGATAGATTGGTCTGTTTCAGAGGCAAGCAACTTTGATGGCAGAGGGAGTGAAGATAAATGCTCTGTATTTGTATAGCGCCTTTCTAGTCTTTTCAACCACTCAAAGCACTTTTATACTACCTCACATTCACACACTCAAATAGAAACTAACGTTCACACACGTTCATACACGTTCATACACTGGTGGAACAGCCACCAGGGGCAATTAGGGGTTCAGTATCTTGCCCAAGGACACTTTGACATGCAGTCTGGAGGCGCCGGGGATTGAACCACCAATCTTCCAATTAACAGGCAACCCACTCTATCTCCTGAGCAACAGCCACCCCAAGGTTTGTTGTGATTGCAGGACGCTCAGCAAGTGTGTCAGCACCATCAGGCCATTAGTCAGGGACAGTTTAATTTGCAATAACTCAAAAAATTGACACAAAATTGCCATCCTAAAGTCAAGATTTTGTTACAGGATATGCATATATACTATGTAAACTACTGTACAACATGTTTCCTCGGAAGAAACATTTGCAGCAAAGTTTTGATTCAATCCTGTCTGTACGCAAGGGATTCAGATATGACATTGTATGGATTAGAGTGATGAGACACGTACAGCCCTGGTTCATCAACATAGTTAATGAAAAGTGAGAAACTGACTTGTGTAGATTATGTAACAAAAAAAACTAATATGGTTAGGGCTAATAAGGAATGCTGAGAGTTAAGAGAAAATTGATACCAACCAAATATTATTATTATTATTTATTATTATTATTATCTTAAAACAAGATATAGCCTTGTTTAACTTCTTGTGTTAATGAACCGCTTGTGGTTAATTGATTGGTTGATTGACAGAAAATTAATTAGCAACCATTTTGATGATTGAATAATTCTTTGAGCCATTTTCAAGCATCTATATCAAACATAACCAAGTTACAGTTGCTCAATTTTCAGTATTTTCTGAGTTTCTTTGTCTTAGTAAACTAAATAGCTTTAGGTTGTTTGGACAAAACAAGTGATTCAAAGAATGAGGGAATTGTGACTAAATAAATAATTGAGAAAATAATGTAAAAAATAATAATCGGCAGATTAATCAATGTGTTTTAATTGTTCCATTTTTAAAGTTCTGTACAAATCAGGTTCAATACTGTTATTACACAAATTAAATATTTTTAAATGTGGGGATCAGTGTTTCTTAAGCTGAACACAGGCAAGAATACTCAAAGTGGCCTTTGAGACACCAGCACCCTGATTGATTTCAAGGATTCTTTTCCCCCTAAAGCCCCAATATGCAGTCCAGTGGCAGCATCCTAAATCCACTGTAATTAAACTTGATCCTCCATGTCCTTCCTCAATTTTTGTGTTTTCTATATTGAACAGTAGAAGCAGCAGCACTGAAATAAAAGTATCTTCCCCTGGAGGATCATCCTACCTCAAGACATTCAGTCAATATGTCAAGGTAATTCAAGCTTGAAAGTAATTCACTCAAGTGAAAAGCAAAAAATAATAATACAGAAATGCAGGGATAAAGAAAGGAAATTATTAATTATTTTCCATCAATACAAAACGTAATTTTGTTTTAAAATTATCACATTAAACTACTATGCCTCCCAAGGCCAAACATAAAAGGGCTCTGTTGATGCAGCGAGCTGGCATCTATTCCCCGCTGGGCTGCAACATGCCATGATGAAAATAAATCAAATCTCCACTTATCAGCTGGTCCATCTCCTCCTACTCAGCACACATCCTTGGTCTGCAAGACCCAGATAAGGCTCAGCTGTCCCGGGGAGGTAGTGAGACACCACTGGCCGTGTCCACAGTGTGATGGGTGTTTGTTCCACAGTGGTGAAAATGTCTTTAAGTGCGGCATGAAAAAGCCCCTCTTCTTTTCTCTTCCCACCAGGATGATTAGTATTCAGCTTCACTAAGTCCCGGTCTGTCTGGTATCCATGGTGAAGGGATGAGAGTCAACCTCAACGATGTGCTGTCTTTGTCATCGAGGAAAGAAAATATCTCTGCTTGATATGCAGATATTTGGAGATTGGAGAAGGACAAGCCGTTCATTTTCAAACGCATTTTGCCACGACACACATGAGGACTCTGACTCTAAGATGAACTGGCCACTTGTGAGTTCCAACAGGACTATACATCATAGAGATAATGGGCACAATATCATCAACAGAAGCCACGTACAGAGCATGGAGCTGAAAATAGTGATTAGTGATAAAAATAGTGATAAAGTGATTGACTTGATGTGGTTCATAGATGTTTGCAGTTAAAGGACAAAGCTGGAGACATTCTGTCAACAAAATCCGTGACAATGCAATTCAACCAACCATGTGCTTGTCCGTCTCTTAATACTTTGCAACTTCGCACAAAGCACAAAAAATGGAAACAGCTAGCCTGTCCAAAAGGTGACAAAATTCTCCTATAAGCACATCTAAAACTCACTCATTACATGTCATGTAGTGTCTTCAGTGGGGACTATTTTCAGTGGCAGACTTGGTGCTTTAGTGAGCAGTGAGTCTGTTATATTTACGCTAGTAGCATCAATTCATTGTTGGTTTTGGAATTTTCACTGGATTTGTTGAGTTATATTTTAAGCATTTTCAGTTTATGGGGAATTAAACCTACTTTTCTTTTTGACTTGAACACGTTGCAGCGGAAAATGTTGCTCTGTCCATCTCTCGCTATGTAACTGAAGATCTTCAAGTCCTGGGCATCATGTGAGACATAGAAGATCCTGTTAAAAGGAAGAGTTGGTTACTAGCTGCCTAGTTATTTGGCTTTGGTGACCTTTTAAAAAAATGTTATACCTTCAAAAGGCACTACCTGTAGATGGGGTCCTGTGTCACCAAGGTAGCATTCTCATCCCAGGACCAGCCTTTTCTCTGTTACAACAAAAACACATAGGTTGACAATATAACGATAAAGATGTGTTTGAAAAGACAAAAGATATACTTCAAATAAAGTCACATTTTGCAGGACTGACCTTTTTCTTTCTGCGCAAAATCACTTTGATACAATCAGTGGATATGACAATGTTGACCTTCTTTTTCTTGATATTCTTCAGTTTGAATTCATACTGTGGAGGAAAAATTACATTCAAATTAAGATTCAAGGTTGGCCAAAAAAAGTAATCCAAAAGTAAATTAAAAACCAAACAGTTTATTATGGTGCGTGGTGTGATAGCATTAAATATCACATAGGGCCCGCTGAGATGGAGCTCTTTACATAAGATAAATGATATATTGGAAAAGAGAGAAGGGATCGTGCAGACAGGAAGATATTTTTAACTATCGTCTTCTTAAGGGAAATCTGAGATTGAGTAAACACCGAGAAACTGTCAGTATATGTTTCTGGGAGCTGTTTAAGCTTTCAAAGGCAGACTTCCCAGAGGGAGACCGATATGTGTGGGACACTTTCATCCGTCTCCATGATTAATGCTGGAGCCTGTAGCCTCTGCTTCCACCGCAGGCTCAGACTCCAAATATCAGGGCCCAAAGATCTAAGAACAAGCTGAATTTATGTGAAATAACACGCCTCGCTTCGAAAACGCACAGTCCAACATCAGATGATTAATTGATCAGATGAAGTTCTGTGAAATCACCTTCTTCTTCTCACTCGCTCAAAACTTGGATAGCTCTGTCATCTTTTCTTTGTTTTGTGTAAAAATCCAAACAATCCAGCGCTGTCTTTCTATTTTCAGTAGGATTGGAGCTGTCATCTCACTCTTATCTTGACATTTCAGAATAAAAGCAAACTCCAAGGAAGAAGAGGGATAATTGTTGACAACATGACAAGTCACATCTGGTGATTTTCGCCTTAACAAATCTGGAACAGTTTCTCTATAAGCCAGTGACCTGTGAAAATCACCTCAAAGGAAGATTCAATGGGCCGTTCTTCTTTGTCATATGCTCTTATCTAGTTCATCCGTCTTATTATTGTGTTGAAATTTTCCTCCACGTGCAGTTGAGAGTGTGGATGCTCAGGTGAAGGACACAACTCCTGTAATGTGTATGTTATTCAGGCTAATGCAGCCCCACGTACACTGGGACAAGAGGACCATCCATCTCCACGCACACTGCTGTCAGAGGGCGATGAAGTGGAACACAGTGACTGTTCGTGCTCCATTTTCATGCACATTAACATGAACCTAACTCAGACTAATGCTGCCCCCAACCTCAACTAATGCTCTTCAGCAGAGATGCTCAACTTATGATAGGGTGCCAGGTGGCCGACTGTTTTCTAAATCACAATGAAAATAATAGAATTCACCCTGGTAGGATTTTTGTTTATACCAATTAGTAAATGTTCACTAATGTCCATTGGCTGTTATTTGGGAGGTTGTTTATTATATGTACACCTGACCCGCACGGCACATGGGGAAGTTTGCTGTGAGGCCTTTCTGCCAGAAAGCCCACCGTTGTTGACGTTGTGAAATGATCACAACTGCTCTGCAGGTTGTGTCAACACACGTCTTGTCCTATCTCTAAGCAAATATGAACACTTAAAAGAACAAGTTAGCTTTCAAATATTCAGAGCGTGTCTCCCCAAAAGCAGAGACCCTTAATTACTGTGCCATTACAAAGCAACCCTCTTTTACAGACATGCATGTTATCAATATTTATCTTTTAACATTTAATATCATGTTACTTATTGCATTTCTATGTAAACATTTATTTGTCTCTTAAAGCATTTTCGGCATTTTTTTCTTATCTCCTTCATCTTATTATTTTTGCTTTGGAGCATCACAGAAAAGCATTTTCGCAAACTAAGCTTTTAAATAAGAGCCACATAACAAAGAAATGTAATTAAATTGTGTTTGTTTCAGGGACAGATGAAAAAGGTACAATACTCAGAATTGACCAGCAAGTTCTGCAACAGCCATACCTTGTGCTTTGTGTGGGTGTATCATTCCATTTTGAGCTGCTGTATCAAAAGTGTTCATTCACTCAGCTGGTACTATCAACTTATAAAATGCATTATAAGAAAAATGGTAATAAGCTGATAAAAACATACAGCTTCACTAAATCTTTGCCATTACAATCAAATGGCCATTACGTTGCACTGTACACGAAGGATCAGGATTAAGTCCTTCCTGGGTGTCACTGGGGATGTGGCCGACCTCCGAGTGACACTATAACTTGGTTGCTGGATTAGATTTAACAGCCGACAAGCAGCTAAATCCCCTCATCCCTGTGCTTCTCTGTAACACAGCAATGATGTGTAATGACAGTGTTTCCAGTGGCCTCGTCTGGTCTAAAGGGGGGCTTGGGAGTTGTTGGGTTTTCTATCGCACATAAACCTGCACGCTGTATCTGTCCTCAGGCATAAAAATCTGGCACATGAATCCTGCCGTGATTTAAACTGCTCCTGACAGCCCACTGAATCTGCCGTGTGTGTGTAGTTTTACCCAGACTAGAGATTTATGAGTAAAGGAGGATCCTTCTGAGCACCGTGCACAAGGTGAGGCATTTAACACAGGCGAGAGAGAGAGGATCAATGTGCATGCACCACCTCAAATGCTGGGTCACAGTTAACGTGTTTGGACCACTACTGTCATAGGGGTCAAGTTCACTAGTTGGGTTAAGGGATGTCACATATTTAAGTTTCTTACTCTTATTCTCCTCATGGCAGCGACTATCTCCATTCGGCTGCCGGGGCGACCCACCTCCAAACTGCCAATGTACTGCAAAATGTAAGAGAAATGTTAAAGATTGGTGGCTGAAGGGAATGAATGGCACTGATTGCTTGGGGAGTACTGGGCTGCCTAAATGTTTTATTTCTTTTGTAGTTTAGATATTTTTTGACACACTTTTGGAAAATCTTGCCCTCTATGAGGAAATCATTACCCTCTACAGCTGCAATGATTAGTCGATCAATTGATTAGCTGATCAACAGAAAATTAAGTTATCAATACATTTGATGGCCCAGCCTCTATGAGAATTTGGTGATGATGAATAATTTGGCTGAAATTGAATATTTTGGGATATTGGACTGTTTGGACAAAACAAGACATTCGATGACATCCCCAAAAGTCATGAGCAATTTTTTCACAGTTTTCTTTCGACTAATTGAGTAAATAATGAACCTGCAGGCTAATGGAAAAAAATGTTTGTTGAGTTGCAGCCCTATTACATTTGTATGTCAAATGTCAAAAAATTGTATAACGTAAATAAATGATGTCAGCATTCATCAGTTGTTCACAAGTTGTCCGTTAAAGCAACACATCTCCTTGCAAGTTAAAAATGATTAAATGACATTTAACATTTCAAAGTCATGCAAAGTAGACAAACATCCAAGTATCATAAGGTCAATAAACATGACATAAACGCATGGATGCCCAGTGATTGTTGTTACAGTTGCAGTGACATGAATAGCCCGAACTGTACGCTATTATTTAACACATGATGATCCACTAGTCCTGAAATCACTCCTGCCGCCCAGAAAGCATCTGTTGCAGAGGGTCCTTACCTTAGCTTCGAAGCAGACCCCATGCTTAAACACCTCCTCGTTGTGCATGGGGATCCTTAAATCGTGCACGTCATCCACTAAATTGTACTTGGTTACCCCTGGCATCGCTCTAATGATAGCGGACTCGCTCCCGACTCTCGTTTTACGACAGCGCTAGAGTACCTGCAGTCATGCGCACCTCCTCTGGCGCTGCTCCCCCCCGCACTCACACGGCGCACGGAGGGGCGCGTCACTCCGGAGGTCATCCGGGTTTGAGGCCCTCCTGTCACTACGGATTGGTTTGTTGGGTTCACGCGCTGATCGGTGATGTGTGGACAATACTGACCCCCTCGCTCCGATCTGAAGCACGACGGAGAAGCCGCAGGCACCGCCGCCACCACCGGGGTCCCGATGACTCACGGACCTCAACACATAATTGTTTTTTCCTCGAAGCACCGCGGTATCACTATGGCCACTAATTTATCAGAGCGAGCGATAGCCTACTCAGAAAGAAGCATTAGGCGCTTAGCCATTAATCTGGATGCAACATTTAACAGATGAGGAGGGACTCTGCATGTATTGACTGCATCAGTAGCTTGAGCTGGTGTTTGGTTGTATGACATCTAGTGGCATCACAGGGAATAAACAAATCCCCAAATCACTGTCTCCCAGTAGATTCCACGAGTCCCCAGGGGTCCTTGAAGGGCTCGATCCCCTCCTGCTATGTGAGGATTAGTGTAGGATTCATTTTTGAGAAACTCTGCCTCTAGCAGAGGTAGACAACAAAAAATGTGTTTCTGAATGAAAGAAGCATTAACTAGGTGAGTGCACAGAGTGCAGATGTGGTCCAGCGTAGGCTATGCATGAGAGTAGTGAAATGAAGGGGAGAAAGTGTTTTGTATGGTCGCCTGTATAAGAGTAGGCTTTTGTGTAAGTTTTCTTATAAAGAAGTGTTTTTGTGTTGTCTCAGTTTTCTTTAAAATGCATAGAATGGTGTGATGACATTTTAACTGAGGGTCCCGGAAGGAAATCACAAACTCCACACATTGTTATTTTCATTTTTATGAAACACACCACAGAATCTAAAACCCCTCCTTACCTCCCTCTCCCCTCCCCTCCCAAAGATAGAAGAATTGAATCTCACTCAATTGTCCCTCCTGGTTCCCTTACAGTCAACATGGTGATGAAAATAACAAAAAACTAACTCATGGATCGTGGATCATGGTATGGTATCAGGATATGGAATTAATCTGCAGCTGCTCCGGTTCAAAATGAGACCAAACTTTTTTGTGGATGCCAGTTTGAACCACGACAAAGGCTAATAGGTGACCTGTAACAGACAAGGCAAACCTTGTTCATAGCCAAGATGATTGTCAAATGCCTTTTGCTATGTTGTAATGCATTTCGCAAATAGGCCTACTGCTGAAAAGACAAGTATATACAAAGTTTTTTTTTTTTAATTGGGAATCATGAGAGGTCATTGAGCATAAATGTGCACAAAAAATGATAAGACCAAAAAGTATCCCCTGCAGGCTTAAGCCTGGCAGAGATAATTATCCTTCATCTAGCTGACACGGTAACAAATGCTTTTTACCCCAGTGAAGCTACACCATATAAAAGCACACTGATGTGTTAGTCACACTGACACTCACACTTTATTCTCCTATTTGCCACATGCAGTGGGCTTCTTTGAAATTATCAAGAAGTAGAGCTGGAAGAATGTAGCAACTTCTTTCAGGTCAAAGTAAATGAAAACAGGTTTATTTACAATATAGATTAAGGTAAAATATATTTTGCTTAATGTGCATTGGGGGGAAGGAATTTGAACCCCTGATTTTTATAGCATACCTCCAGTGTGTTTGTACTTGCTCTGCAGTTTTACAAGCAGATACAGCTTTAGTGAAGCATACTGAATTTATCAGTATTCTGAGCCTGGCTTTTGTCACAGGAAAATGCAGCACCTTCTCTTTTGCATGTCTTTGTCCACAGCTTTTAAAAGCATTTAAATAACAAATTAGTCTGACATCAGATTTTAATCAACATTTGCCCTGCATATTTTCAATTTAAATTGATTGAAAGGAGAGCCCCATTCAAGGGTGTTCTATTGACACAAATATTAAAAAAAAAACATTTACAACAGCATTACATAACAAACATATGCAAATACACAGATACAAACAACTAGCTCAACCTCTCTCACCCACACCCCTTAATAAATGTTTCAAATGACAAATCAGTCTGACAGTGTAAAAGTTGCTGCATGTATGAACCTACAGAGAATCATCACCTGAATCTGCATTTATAGCTTTATAGTGAGTTTCAGCTTAATGTTAATCTGTCTGGTCGTAACTTTACAGTTTTGGTTCCCTCTCACTGGTCACATGGATCTCATAGCAGCATTAAGTCTAACAAAGCCTTTCAGATTGACCAGTATTTTCTTTAATAAGCACATACCTGCATATACATGGCATGCACATTTAATTTTAGCCTCCCAGCTGAGGTCTAGGAAAAAAAGGAAATTTGTAAGTGTAACACATTTGTTTTGTTTCGATCAAACTTCAGCCATGCCGTCTCTCCAGCAGGTGGCAACAGAGCGCTTTACATTTTACAGGATGTAAAGTTCAAAAAAAGCAAAAGACCAAGCTGAAGAGACAAAGTCAAACATCCACTTTATATATTCACTGTGCTCCTTTTTATCCTCCATGTCCTTTATCTTTTGTTAACCTGTGTGAGGAACCACTCAGTGTGATTGTTGTACTCTCCGCCTCAGCGTAAGGCACAGAAAGACTCGATTATGGTACAAATGAACAGAGTGCTCTGTCAGTTCAGAAAATCACCCCTCGCACCTTTTAGTATTTATTTTTATGTCTAACAACTGTTTTTTGGGGACGAAGTGTGCTAACAGGTAAGGTACTTGAGGAGGCCTTCTGTAAATTGTCTCATTTCAAGTAGTCGCTCGGGGCATCCAGTTCCTACAGACTGAATGACTAAATGTTTTCTGCACGTGCTGTCTTGTCCAAGCTGCTACAATGGCTGGTGGCACAGTTATCACGTGTGGACACTTTATTGGATGTGATGCTGCACTTCTTCAGACAAGAGGTCAAGCTTCTTGTATCCAACAGAGTTTTACTGCAAGATGAGAAGGTATGGATGTGCGTCAGATGCCACAGTTATTTTAGCACTCAGCGTCAGGTAAATTACTCATCTGTTGTTTAGTTGGTTTTGAGTGCGCATGGAGGGTCAAGGGCGGCTTCATATCTTCTTATCTCTCAGCTTCCCACTCGCCACGTGAGGAAAGAGCTGCATGTTTTTTTTTCTTTGATGCTGTGTGTTTGTTTGACACCCAGGATGGGTTTGTGCTCTCTCGCTGCCTTAAACACAATTTTTTTCTTTCCTTCACTCCATGTTTAATTAGTTTTTGAAGTGAAAGAAATCACAATTTTGGCTGACATACTTTCAGTTTCTTACAGCAAAATTGTTTACTGAATCAACTAAAATAAATTTTTTTGAAACTACAGCCACAATAATCGCTTTGGGTGGTTGTGTTTCAGTGAGCCTTCAGACTGAAAATGACCTGAGGTAAAGAGTAGAAATACGAGGTTCACCTTATGAGTAAACTTCTAAGAACACCATGCCATTCATTGTGGCCTCTGTTTTGGCACCCGTGCTGCACACTAAACTGGCCCCATTGAAATGAATGAGCAGACAGAGTTTTTACATGCACAGCTGTTCTTAACACATCCTTTGGCACAATGGAGCTTTGAGCAAAATGCTAACAACAATGCTAACATGCTCAAAATGACAATGCTTAGTATGTCTAATGTTTACCCTGTTCACCATCTTAGTTTAGGGTGGTAGCATGTTAACATTTGCTGACCTGATGATGGCTCTAGATGAACAGTGAGAGGATCCCCAAAGTTATTATGCTTCCTCCTGTAGGGAACATGAATGTGTGTACCAAATTACATGTCCATCCAATAGCTGTTGAGACATTTCAGTCTGGAGCAAAGTGGTGGGCTGACTGACTGACATTGCCTATCATAGAAGCACCCACACCACCAACAAAGGGAAAAGAAGAGAAATAAAAATAAAAGTCCATGCTTTACACAAGCTTCAGAATCACCATGCTAATGTCACTGCCATCTTTTATTTCCTTTACACTGTATCACAAAACCAGGCCTGATTTCCTGTTGATTGTGCAAACAATCTGACACACTGGCAAATAGGAATCATCAGGTGTTGTGGTGATATCTACAAACTGGCACGCGACCAAGTGCAGACTGACATGGGATCAGCTGCTTTCAGGCATTCATAGGTCAGTAAACACACAGCCTGCTGCGTTTGTCAAACTGGCCGAGTACAAAGCTGACCTTCCCACAAACTCAATTAACTTGTCACCGTGGAAGCCACACAGTTAATGCCACACACACTTCCCCTAATTTCTCACTTAGTCACATAGACCTATACGTCACACTACTTCCTGTCTTCTTTGTGATCCACATGGAAAATAGACTTGAAGGATTGTTGTTACATGCATCACTTAACCTCATAACTGAGTCTATAAAAAGCTACAGCAGTTATTGTAAAAAACAAACTGTGGTGCCAGGGTTCATACACATTGAATATTCATCTCTTCTCTTTTGGCCCTTTCCAGAATTCTTCAAGGTCACCTTTTAATAATTTGTGTGAGTGAAATCAGCTCTTATTTAAAAAAAATTTCCTTCCTAAACTGACAGCTATCACTTATGTCTGCTGGTCATGACATTTATAAGGCTTCCCTCCACTTGCTGAATAGGGACAAACATGGTCTAAGTATTGAAAACATGCGAAACAAATCGCAAAGACTGACACAAAATAACATCTAAAATAAAATATGGAATGAATCTGATGATCGATACCACTGTCATGTCAGTTTGCTACAGCCAGGAGACTGTTAGGTTAGCTGAGCACAAATACTGTACTTGAAACTGAGAATTGGCTTGTTTAATCTGTGCTAAACCAAAGTGTAAAAACGCCAGGTTGTTCTTTTTACGCAGTCATTGGACGGCACTTTTAGGAGTCTCTGCTGGTTGATGTGTTAAAAATGTTAGAAAAAAGTAAGCTTTACAGATACAGATTTTGTTACCTTTAAACAGAGCCAGGCTAGCTGTTTCTCTGTTTCTTGCCTTTATGCTAAGTGAGCTAACTGGCTGCTGGTTGTAGCTTCATATTTACTGTGCAGACATGACAGTGGTATTGATCTTCTCCTCTAACCCTTGGCAACAAAGCTTTTTTTCATGTTGGCGTCACTGTTTCCTCATATTTACTTTGTGCTTGTCCTCAACTCTTCAGAACTAGTTCCCACTTAAATAATCTGCTTTGGAGGTGAACCATGATCCTAATGTTGTTGGCTGTATCAATTAGCATTTGATTTAATGTCTGGCCTTGATATTAAATGACTGTAAAGCTTTTAAGGGTTCATGATTTTCACAATATTGTTTCAAATCAAATCCCACCAGGGCCATGCATCCTAGTACTGGAGAATAAGTAAAGAAATAACAGACGAGTACGTGGTGGGAAGAAGTATTTTTTTGATTTACTCACTTTACAGCAGGCA